CTCTCATTAGAGTTCTCTCCCATATCCAGTGAAGGTTCTCTTCACTGTCAAGCCTACACACACAGCACAGAGTGGTAGTATGGTTATGTGTGGATTAGACAGACTTGTAACAGCCTTCTTAATCCCTGACATGTAGAGCAGCCTGTACAACACTATAAAAAGTACATACCTTTGTCCCACCTCAAATGACACATCTCCAGCTGTCAGCATGAGAATACCTGAGTATCACCAGGTGGTAGGCATGAGAGCTGATGCTGCAACCCTGCAGTAGGTAAACTGGTTCAGTGTTTTTTGGGCTTCCATCAACATGGTCACAGATTTCAAGGTAACTACTGCAAGTTGTGTCACCTGCCTAGGAGCAAAGTCTTGAAGATTCTCCACTTTTCCAAAACCACAAAGTTAGGATTTCTTTGGGTGTTATCCCTCTCCCTGCAAAGTTTAGTCGGAAAGCTGAGTTATGAAACTGCAGAAACAAGAACCAAGACAAACAACTAGGTGATAACAAGAGTTCTGGATATCCCACAAAAAAAAAAAAAGACAGACATTTGCAGAGCTGGATCCAGGAAAATAGCTTGGAAAAGCTCTGGGGAGAGGGGAGAGGAAAGGGAGGAAAAGATGAAGACCAAATGTGCTACTAATCATAGTGTGACAATAAATCTATTAAACTATAATTTATTTGCTTTACTTAGTAAATAGATAAAGTCAGGAAGTCTGAGTTAGGTTAACAGCATTACTGGCAACCCCCCACTTTCCAAGTTAACCACCTCTAGTCTCCTGCTGGAGCTCATGCTTTTTTTCTGCTTCAGACAAAATGACGTGTTACTTTAGACACTACAAATACTGGTTCTTCAGTAACCTTGCTTCTTTTGACTGACACACATGAATTCAGCTGTCAGATCAATGGGTAGTCCCTCTGGAGAGAGTAAAAGGACGGGAGGTGATAACTTCTTGATCCAACACAACTAGATGAGGACATGGGAGATGAAATTATCACTGATAACTTTGATGACAATCCAAAATTCAAATAAACAAAAAATTTCCCCTTTCCAGAAAACATATATTTTATCTAAGTGCTTAAACAGTAGCTAAGTGCACATAGATCAATGCATATTTGCATTGAATAAAATGCATATTTTTTGAATAAAAACATTATGAAAAGCAAAAGTGTTGTTATATGCATCTATGTTTTCTATATAACTCAACTATTCAGTTTCAATTAACATTTGACAGCATCTGGCTTTTGGGGGTTTCACACTACATGTAGGCACATTCATACACATTTAAAGACAATTTAATGTTCTTGTTAATACGGGGATTCTTTTCTCTTTCTGAAGAGGAAAACTTTTAAACACTTTCAGGATTTTATCTTTTTAAAATTTTGGAAGAATTTAATTAGAAGTCTATTTTTCTCCAAAATTTTCTGCTAGGTTTTTCAAACTAGTTTCACTAGAGAGGCAGAATAATAGCCCTACCATACTGGTTTTATTACTTATAGAAAATTGGAGGTACTTCTAGAAATGAGACATAAGCATTAATAGCTTCTATCATAGCTAAATTTTGTCACCAGCCCATGTCATTTTGTAGAAGCAGGAAGTGGTGGGTTTAATGTAAAAATCCTCGGGTTTTCAAAAACAGATATTTGTCCTCAAAAGCTTTAAAAAAATGCTATATGAAATAGTGCCTTACTATGTAGTGACAGAATGTCCCTCCAAACCCACAAGTCTCCAGGAGATTCTTCCCACAGTTAATTTACTCCCGTGTTTCTGTGCTGGGAGGATCTTGCACACATTTCTGAGGTTCCTGTGCTAGTAAATGGTATCAGCTGTAGAACTACTAGATGCAGAGAGTGTTTGTAGACATGAAGCTTAGATACTAAACCCCAAAATCTTTGTTTAACCGGGAGACCTATGTTTAGATATGGCACATACTTACAATGGAGGCCCAGCATCTATGTGCATAAAATTATATCTGACAGCATAACAAACACATAGGTGAGAGGAAGAGTACTTTCAGGATCTGAAATTTGACCAATTCCTACTGTTTCCCAATTAGCCAAAAGAGGGGGCTAATTCATTCCTTTTTTCATGTTTTTCAAAAACATGTTTCTATTTCCTGACCTTGGGTTACTGGAATGTTCCTGATGGAAAATGAGGTGGAATGTTCTCCGGTGGCACTTTTATTACTAGCAGATTGACTCACAATGAGGATCTTTGCTTTCCATTTTGTTCACAACACTTCTATCTGCATGACGGTACTTCATATTAAAAGGCCTCCACCTAAGCCACAGCACCCTGCAATTTTGTTGGACTATTTCATGGCGTCAAATTTTAACTACAGCAAGAAAAGAAGACCTGTCAGACAGTGTGTTTTCAGCAATCAGAACATTAAGCTGTTCTTTGCCTACAACTCAGCAAAGAACCAGGAAAAGAAAAGTTGTTACGCAAGTATCAGCATTAAGTATCTTTGAGTTATTGCTGTGATTATACTAATTGCTCATCTTCCTAGTGGGAGGTTGCAGGAAGCTGTTTTGAAGTAATCAAGCTGAGATGCGGCCTTCTATTTATAAGAGGCCTAGAAATCTTGGTCTCCCAAAAAGAATATCTAATTGAATCTCTAAAGAACAGCAGATACAGTTTCTCTTCCCTGCTTGGAATCTCACACAAGAGTTTATGATTCAGTTCTTCACTGTGAATGTCTGTGAACTTCAGACAATGCTGTCCAAGAGTACTGCAGAAAGCACTTGTTCTCCTGTTTGCCCAGGCTTTGAATGTACCGCAGAACATCTATCTGCAGCTCTGTATTAATTCCAGGATCATCTCATTAGGCAGTTTAAATGCAAAAATAATGTTTCATATTTACATGAAGGATTTTGGTCCAAAGCAGTTTAATATTCCGATACATGCATACATCACTTTAAAAGAGTAAGACCTGGCTTCCATAGAATTGTAGCCCCAAGGAAACTCTCGTGAGTTATACTTCACCTGATAAGAAGGGGTAATTTGGGTAAAGAACACTTTGATCTATGTTGATCACAATAAGGACCAATGAAATTTTTTTCTGTATGTAAGACCTTTTAAAGTAAACAAAGGCCAAAATCAATGTCTTTACCTCAGGCAAACAAAGGCGGATTCCAGCACCAGCAGGATTTAAACCATTATCTCTAACTGAACTATTGAGAGCCTTTCTGTGACAAAGCCAGGGTAGCCTTCCTCAGAGCAAGAAGAGCATTTTGCTGAGATGAGGTTAAATTTCATCATTGACCACTGGCAGGATTTTGCTGCTGTAGATGTTGCTGTGGTTTTTTTCCTTGTTTATGACTACAGTTTCTTGGTAAAACCGGGCATGTATTCTTAATAAGTTGTTCCAGGGACAAAATGACTTGATAGCAAAGGTTATGTTTTGCCCAATACTTTCAACCAAAGAAAAAGAAAGTGGAAAGTCTAAGTGAACTGTTCTGACATTTCTGAAACACTTCATTTACAGGCACATGCAATAAACACAAATAAAATAAAGGGCTAAATGCACACTAGTACTGAAGGAAGCAGCAGAAGTAACTTTTTTTTCACAGTAGGCTGGCTAATAGGGATTTTATGGAGTCTGAACAAAACTCAGATTAAAATTCCTCCTCAGCACAAGCGGATTTGAACACGTATGTTTCATCTCCCAAGGAAATATCTTACCCACTGACTGTTCTGTAAGGTATCCTGGGGTAGAAGAGATGTTAGAAAGACAAGATGGTCCTTCAGGCTATATTTGCCTTGAATATGAATATGGATTTATAGGAGTGGCTTTAAATATGAATTAAGCTGTCTTAAGTACTTGGTCCTTTAAATTCTACCTAAGAGCCTTCTTACCTAGACACTGATATTTCTGAATGTAGCCCCAGTTCAACATACATCTCCAAAAATTGTACAGTGCTGTCAACAGGACTATAGAACAAAACACGTCACAGGGTAGCATGCATTCAAGGCACTTTCCTGGCAGATGAGATAGCATTTCAAACCATCTTTGACAAAAGTATGTCAGCTGAGGTCTCCTACACCATGTATGAATGCCCCACAGCTGAACTTTCCAGGGAAGGGGGTTTATGGCTGCGTAAGGTCTATTTTTAACCATCCACAGGTGCTGAGACACAAGAAAAGAGCATTTTAGAAAGAAGAACTTACCATAGGAAACTGGAAAGATTAGGGAGTACCATTTGATTGTTTTATTATACAGACTTCTAGAAGTCAGAGGCCACAGAGAAAAGATAGCTCTTGAAACAGGATTTGAAGACAGTCAAGAGGTCACCAAGGCAAACAGCAGGGTATCTGTTACAGAAGCTAAGAATTATGGGAGACAGACTAGGAGAAAAAGGTCCAAAATTAAAAGTCCTCATCTCTCTCTATACATCATCACAAATCAATACAAACCAAGTAATTCACAGAAAGAGGCAATGTTGTGTGTTTGTTTGCAAGCCCTGATGGATCTATTGGCTGGCATGCCCATTGTTCCCTGACATGCCCATGTCCATTGTTCCCTGACATGACATACACAGCATAGGTATCATGATGTATATAAGCCATGAAAAACTCTGGTGTGTTTCATTACCATGAGAAATGCAAGGTCTGGCTGCTTTTGACAGCTGGCGATGCTATTAGCTAGCCTTTTGCATTGGTAGCTGAAGAAAATTCAGTCAACATATTTTAACCTTCTAAGCAATTCCAGCACATTGTGATCTTACCAAAGCAGCTGATAACAACTGAAGTACAAGCTCTGCGTCAGACAAACAGCAGCTGGGGGAAGGGAGCTCTGCTCTCCTTCCTCCCCCACGCCAGCCCAGCTTGTAGATCAAGCTTGTCATCCCTTTCAAGGGAAAAGACAATGACAACATCTTTCTTCCACCAATAACAGAGAAAGAGGGGAGCTTACCACTGCACCAGAGTTTTACAGAGTGGTGAAAATACACGAAAGCACTCTACAGCTCTTAGGACAGCACAGGGAGAACAACTCAAACCTACCTGGTGCTGGAACTGCAGCATAGGCTTTGCATTATAAACTGAATTAGGCTCTTATCCAAGACAAATTGTGAACTCTGATGACTTAATTTCAGCTCCTCTCTGCAGCCTTTCATCAGGACTTGCAAAGGTTCTTTCTGAGCTTTTTCAAAGTAAGGAAACCCAAGTGGTCTCCAATTTCAGTTGTGCACTGTGATGAAAGTAGGCTGTCTGGGAGGAAAAGGGGGGTAAACTGGCCAGCTCTGTGAGTTCAGTCTGGGTCTCACATATGTAGGAGTGCAGGAATTCCTCAGCTTTGCATTTGGAAATGGGCCCAGGTCAGAAAGTAAAAATAGAAAAATGTGTATGCGATTCTAAGAAGCTCAGCTGCAAGGAAGGGGGAAAAAGTTTCCTGTAGACCTTGATTCAAGCTTTTCGGAAGTTTCAAGGACAAAGACGAAGCAGCTCGAGGGCTCCATTTCATTTTGGAAGTCATAACTCATTATTCTGCATGGCAGAAAACTATTCACAACAATTTTTTTTTTTATCTCATTTTACAGTTTACTTAAAAAAACCACATAGACAAAATATACATATGTAGTCTCCATGGTTATTTTATAGCAGGACCACACTTTAACCATTATTCTTTTAACACTAGAAAAGAAGAAAATATCTTATAAATGGAATAAATGAATGGTATATAACACTGTTCCTTTAAGCTCCAGCCTTAGTGGTGAACAGCTGTATCATTTCTCTCAGGGAATACAGTTCTGCTTCTTTGCTCAAATATCCCCAGAATGGGCAAAACAGGTTTGCATGAGTACACATATCAAAGCTTACAGTGGGATGCCCAATTTATCTGCACACGTAAAGCTCATACAAATTCCCCGTATAGACCAGAGTACAAGCTAGATCCACCTCGAGAAAGTAAGTACAGAGGAAACCAAGGAGTACTTAACATGGGATTAAAACATCCTGTCTGCTGGGTGGTGGGTTGTACAGGATTCAGCCAGCAATACCTAGCTGCACAGTGTTCTGTCTGTGTGTATGCAGCTATAGCTACACACAAAGGAGGCAGCTGTAGGTGGAGACACAAAGGCCAGGGCACAACTGTGCTTCTTTTTCTCCCCACAAAAATAGTCTGGCTGTTGCTGCTGCCGCCAAAGTAAGAAGCAGGGAGCAGGAGGAAGTGGCAGATGCCCCAGATGCAGCACTGCTGCTCCTTCCCTTTCCATTTCCCCACAAAGCATGACTGTCTAAAGCTTTCCCTGACATTCCTTTTCCCTTGGCTGTGTCCTTACTCCTCCCATGACAGAGAGGGCATGTACCCTGCACACCACACTTGGTGGAGTAACTAAATTTTGCCTAACAAAAGCAGCCTCAAGGTACCCCTGCAGTGAGGCCCCAGTGGTTTCCCATGCCAGACTCCTGAGAAGGTAGGCAGATAAGGGAAGGAATTAGATGCACGTTTTCCAAAACCATCATTTCCAACCTGTGATCACCACAAGCCCACAGGCTAAATGACCTACAAAGAGTATCTATGAAGAATAAGCTATTAGTGAATACCCTTGGTTTGGGAAAGAATTCACAGGTTGGAAGGGGTGAAACTCTTCTCTTATAATATAGCAAGATTAATTCTGCAGTTAATCTTCCAGCATTCAATAAGCAGACAACTGAAGCAAAGTGGTCCTTTCTCCTCACTTTCAGAATGGTCCACATAGCCAAGTCCCTTGATTTGAGGGTATGGATGCGTAATAAATCTGTCAGGCACTGTTACCTTGAAAATGTCTCTATTTCAAGCACTGCTGAGGGTTGTGCTGCTAAAGTAATGCAGCTGCTGGAGGCATCCCTGAATGTCCGCATGACCATGTCTGTGTCACAGGACAGCAGCACATCAGTAAGGTCATGTCCTTGGCTGTCACATTGCTTATCAACTCCAAATAGAAACCCAAACCTAAAATCTAGTGGAGAAATTGCTAGCCATGTAGCCAAAGTTTTCTAATCACTCTGTCTTAAAACTCTGAGGCTGGCACTAGTCATTCACTTCATTCACCTGTGCTGCAACCAAAAAGATGGGGTTTAAATTTGCACCAGAATTTAGTGCTGCTGAGTCACAGTTACTGAGCTCCACTTTGGTTTTGCTGCTTTCAAACTTCTTTTCCTGCTTTTTATGAAATCAATATTGTTTAAATGGTGTGAGTTTAAATGGGGCATAGCAGCCTAAGTTTTGCTGAGGAGTAACTAGTGTTTTGAGGGTAAGAAAGAATTAATTACTTGAGCTACAAAAAAATGAATAAACATACTGTAAAAAGAAGCTACTCAAATATGGGCAGGTGACAGTTAAAGTCACAAGTATCATTGCAAAAGAGCTGCTAAAGTGGAATAATATTTATGCACTGCAAACAGATTTGTGCTGCTGAACAAATCTGACTCCTCTTGGGAGTATACCTTAGAAATATGTTCCTTTGCAGGCAACACAAGTAGGCAAACAAACACTTTAGTGTGAAATAAAATGAAATATAATACAATATAGAAGTCCTCAAATGGAAAAGCAAGAGGTAGATATTCTCTATTATCACTACTCAGGCCTCTTCTTTGAGGAAGGGTGACTGGGAAGGATATTTTCTACTATTTGTTGCTATTTTTTATAGCCTCAGTGCCCCAGAAAATGGAAAGTGGGGATACCAAACATAATGAAGCTGCTAAGAGGAGAGCTTACAGTCACACTCATGTCCTCCTCTGTCTGCTAGTCATTAGTACCCACTTCCAAAACCATATCACTTTACTGTTTCCAGTACCAAACCTGCATTAATGGAAGTCTAACTGTGACAAGGCGTTGGTGTTCTGTGTACATTGATGTGACAGCTCTCAATATCAACACATTCAAGTGTGGATCAAAAATGAGGAACCGTTCGAAAAATGGTTCAGCCAACCTGTTCTAGGGAGGACGAGGCATTTAGACACACAGGAAGACAGATATCACATAAAATACACTAAAACCTACACGCATCTGGCTATTTGTTGAGTTCCAATAGTATGTTCAACAACTTGCATGGGAATCTTCCAATGAAATTATTCAGGTCATTCCAAATTATAGCATCTCATTTTTCCACCCCAGTATTTACGCATTTAGATTCCTTATGCAGCTCTTAAACCCTGTTGGGAAATTTTACCAGCAGGATGTATGGTATCTCTCATCTTTAGTATCTATAGCCAAGTGTCCATGACCTGCCCCATGGATATATAGATTGACCAGTTCTTTTGAGTATGCAAGGCCAAATTGTTCTGCTTCAGCATAGCTCAGGACTCCTCTGCCTCCACTGCTGTTATTCCCAAGATCACTAGGAGGTGAAGGGGAAGAACAAACAGGACAAATGTATTCCTGATGTGAGCAGATGAAACCTTATAACCTCATTTTCCCTCACCCACATTTTAGGACTTGTCAGTTGAGTAACAGCTGTTTACACCAATTATGAATTTGGCCAAAGATATAGAAATTAAGCAGCGGATTATATTCCATGGAGAGTACATTAAAAATAAACTCTGTGTGTGTGTGTGTGTGGCAGAACTGAGTCTTGAGTCCTTAATTATAGGAAACAGGAAATACTTTGGTTGCCCTCCTTCCCAAGACCAAAATTAGTTAATAATTACACCACTTCTTAAAGGTTCTTTCTCCCTTTGGCTTTACTGCCACTGGGGAGGGGGAGGGAAAAACTTAGGAGGGGGAGGAAACCAGGGATCACCATAACAATATGTAGGTGGAAAAAAGAGACATTAAATGTTCTAAGATAAGAGCAAGGAAAGCATCACATGATAAAATCAGCTAGTCCTTCCCTTGTGCAGCACAGTAGGTCATTCAGGAGCATTCAAGAGAATTCTTTTGCTTCTGCTTTGTGAGGGGTTTTTGGGTTGGTTTTTTTTTTTTTCATAGGCATATTTAGGAAGCTGCAGAGCATTATCAAAAGACATTCAGGAGCTGAGGTGAAGGGCAGTCTTAGCAAAGGTTTCCCCTTTAGTGTCTTTAAAGTGCCTGGCAATTTTCTCACAGAGATCCAGCTGGAGGTAGATATGAAGGGACAAAAGTTTTTCTTAAATGAGAACAGCCTGGCACTCTTCTCTACTTTAAGGCATTGTCTCCTCTGTGTTTGCGTTTCTTTCTTTTTAAACTAAACAAATTCAAAATTAACAACTCTTCTGGTAATCTGAGCCAGATTCCAAAAAATGTTGCATAAAACAACCCGGTGGCAGCATTTAGTCTATTACAAGCAGTCTGCATACTCTCAAAACCCATTAAAACTCCTTTATTGACATTTTTTAGACCAGTATAATGACATAATTTGTACAACAGTATAGGTAAACAGTGAGAATCCAGGCCTGCAGCTTCATGGTGGAAAGAAGATTCACATCTTGTCAATACTGGGCAAAACAGGCTGCAAATGAAGATGTAAAATCAGGTTCATGTTTAAAACATCTAAACTAATATTGCTCTGGGAAAGAAACAACACATTAAGAACAATGTGTGAATATCCACTGACAGCACTAGGTGCAGAATATTGTTTCAATAGTGTAGTTTGCTCATATATGTAAAATAAGTAGGATTCAGCTGGCTAATAATTTATCTGGTGACTTCTTAATCTTGAACCAAAAATATCCTTGAATGTTTCCAGAGAAGCTGATATCAGGCATCTACAGCAACTGTAAAATCTGCCCTTTTTCTGCTTTATACTGGCTGACAGTTCATCATAGTCTTGGCTCTGCAAAAGACATACATAAGTGATTAATTTAAAGCACAGCAAGTTATGCCATTAACATCATGTGCCTATGCTTTCCCATATTCAAGGGCTTACATTTGCCCAGTGCCCTTTCAACACAGACATACCTCTTGGGAGGGGCTTTGAGCAAATCTTATTTCAAAGAACGAAGGAGAGGAAAGAAAAGGATTTTTCTTCATAAAGGAAATTTCCCTGCCAGCAGCATAAAGCAGGGCTGGCCTCAGAGGCTTGCAGGATCCCTTCTCTTGTCTGGCCGCGTCAGGGCACTGCCCAGCTACAATAGCCACCACTGACTCTCCAGTTGTTAGCCTTGAACACTCAGCAGTATGATCAAGAGGGTTGGAACTGCAACTGAATAAAAGTTCCCTGAACAATGTAAATGAATATACAGTTGTTTTTTGCCACGCTGCAAAAGAAACCTCTGTGTTTGAACCTTTTATCTTCCCTCGAAGAGTCCTGGCCTTGTTTTCCCGAAAACCCTCAGAGAAAGGCCCCAGGGCTGAGGCAGTGAGCATTCAATTGCT